TTTTGGAGTGCTACAAACACAAGTGTAGCCGTTGTATCTTGGGAGTCGATTGCCGAAATCCGTAGGCAACGTTGCGGGGCAAATTCGACTTAAGGACAAAGAGTCCAACTCTTGCCTCGACTTTGTCCCTACTTTCTTCTTCTTCTTGTTCGTGTTTTCTTTGCCGTTACTCTGTCCAATTTTCGGCACGGATTTACAAACCATCATTATACTTATTTTGGCGTCACTATTCACAAAATTCCTCCAACAATGCGCGAAGGGGTCATCAACACAAGCATGAAGATATTATGAAAAAATATATCTTATAATCAACTGCAACTCTTACACGAGAAAGCATGAAAAAAGTCAAAAAATATGAAGCAAATTTGAAAGATGTTAGTGTCATTAACATGACAAGGCAAAATGTTCATGGTGTTATTTATGGTTCATTCGACGCCGGGTATCTTATAACTACGAGGATTGGCAACAATGGCACTCTACTTCGGGGCATAGTCTTCCTACCTGGGTAGATCGCCTCGATCACGACTGCAAATGATGTTGCTCCACAGGCTAAGATGTATCAGAGAATAGAAAACCCAATTTCAGAAATGGATTATCAAAATCAGGTGAATGACATTGAGATCACCTCTCGATCGAAAATAGTAGTCGTGCCTAGTCCCAAGGACAGGAAACGACCGTCTATGGGTACGCGCTCAATTGTGCCATGTAAGCCTATGCCCATTGTGCCAAGAACTAGTTCTCCCTACCAGAAAATCAAGAAGTCGGACTCAAAAAGAAATCTCAATGTTCCCCTTTGATTGAGAATCTGAGAATGGTCGAGCAGGATGAGGTGATGCAGGTGTTGGAAGTTTCGACCCCAGCAAAAGAGCCTAACGCAGTCGATACAGAAGCAGTTAAAAGATATATCCCAATCATCATCTAGAGCACCAAGAAATTTCCCTGGTACTGAAACCATGCTAATTGGACACAGTGAAATACAAGGCTCGATTTTCGAGCTGAATGAAACTCCTGTAGTTGCTCAACTTCAGTCTGTTCCTGGAGAACTTCAAGAAATGGAGTCCGAGCTGCTGCCAACTGATCTCTTTCACAATGAACTGAAAAGCTCAAATTTCAAGCTCCCTCAAGATCTTTTTGCAAATCAATCTTAGCCTACAGTTTTCCATGAACCAATGTGCTCGGAGTCTTAAGTTTCAACAAGGTAATTTGGTTCACAATGAACTGAATAACTCAATATTGCACTACAAGAAGAAACTAACTTGGGACAATCAGTAAAAATGCTCCAAGCAATGATGAAGCCGGTTCGCTGTCTGCACTAAGTACTAGGGACGACCAGGCGCCATTGAACTGGAGCTTGGAGAATCGACCCTGGTATGAAGGCTTTAAGAGCTAGCCTTCTCTTCTACTGATTGCACTACTGTCATGGATTTTGTTCTTACTGATGTTGTCCAACCTACGGAACCTCGTTATCATCAAAGCATGCAACCTCCATGAATTTGAGCATAGATGAGACAACAAGGATTTCTAAGCAAACTGTTAAGATTCATCAGCTGTTTATTGTTGTGGAAAGCATGTTTCGTAAGCAATTTTGGAACCATGCACTAAAAATGTACTTAGGACGATTTTCAACTTTCACCGAAATAGAAACACAGATTTGCACGCCACTAGATATATTAGTTAGCAATTAATGATGCCTTAATTCTTAGCTTATTCCTGTTCCTATACATATAAAGATGAAATAAAAGTAGTAGTAGTAAGTAGACAGATCTCAACCTGTGCAAGTTTTCAGTGAAATGGGATATACAAATCAACAAACTTCAAAAGCCAGATTTCTTTCTAAACCGTGGGATCGTGGGATTTTCGAGCTACATGAAATGCATGTAGGTTCTCGTTACCCTTAACTGCTCAGTGACTATTCAGAAGCTCAAATGGCAAAATCCACGGTGAAATGCATTGTCCTTTTTCGAAAATTGTTTGATCACAGTGAAATGCATTGTCCTTTTTTGAGCTACCGCTACATGAAATTCCTGTAGTTGCTCTTTTTCTCAAATTCATACTGTCCCTGGAGAACTTGAAGCAATGGAGTCTAAGTTGCAGCATCTCATGAAGATTGATGTGGACTAGACCTTCTTCTTCATCCTTTTTTTTTTTTTTTTTTGTTAATTAAAAGTTATGAACTTATAATTCAAAATGTTAGAACTTTTAACATATTAATATTAACGAAATTAGAAAAGCATAGTGTCACAGAATCTTCCTTTATATCTTCAATGACTACAATAAATCAACTCTGAGAATCTTTTTTAATTATTAGCAAACGAATAAAATGCACATCATCTGCAAATGTTAATGATCAAGTTAAATAAACGATCAAAAATGGACAAGGGAAACACACATGAACCTAAAAAAAGACGGGCTATTTTACTTTTCTCTAGTCAACAACACAGTTTGAACGACCCCATGACGCGACAGCATGTAAGTTCTATCTTCGCTGCCACAACCACCAGTTCCATGATTGGCTGTTCACTGCGCAATGGATGAATGTTTTGTTATTTATAAATCCAAATACAGAAAACAAATGCACATAAATTATCTAGGGGGGCCAAAAGCTTTTGTTACAATTTTTGAGTCAAGTACCTGAGGCTGCTGCTGCTGTTGAGGTGGTGGTGGCTAATTTCCATATCCCGTGTAGCCTGCACGGTACAAGTTTGGATCCTGCGCTGCTGGAGCATATCCATAGGTTTCGTATCCAGGGGCATATCCATAATATGCACCATTATGCTGGTTTTGATCAACCTGAAGCAAAAATTTCAATAGATGAAATGAATTGAACAAAAACCTAGAGGAAAACCTTCAAAACACAAACACTAAAAAACATTAACAGTAAATGTACCTGTTTGTTTGAAGGACTACGGCCCCATGAGAGTCGAATGCTTTGTCCTCCCAACTGGGTTCCATTTAACAGCCGCAGAGCTTCCTCTGCACAGCTTCTATTATAACCAATGGAAAGAAAACACAATAAAGTTGACATTCTTTATTTCTTGGAATTTAAATTGAGGGTAGAAACAGCCATTAGTTTTCTCAGTTTACCTGTCGGCATATTGTACAAACCCGCACCGTTTGCCTATTGGTATCTTTACATGTAGTAGCTGTCCATAGTGTCCAAAAACCTGTCTTAGATGTTCTTCAGTAATATTAGGGTCCAAGTTCCCAATGAAGATCTGCAGGCAAGACAACATTTACATAGCTAAGCATTTATTACTCAAAACAATTGACATAAGGAAATCAACAATGAATATACTGACAGTCGTGTTAGATGGATCCTCCTCACTCTGAGTTCCTCCGGAAGTTTGGTATGAAGCTGCAAAAATGAAAAAAGCATATGGAGGATACAGTCATCAGTGGATAGAAAGGGGAGAACTGAAGCAAGAGCGCCACTTGCTATTAGTTCGATACCAAATGAAAAGATGCAGTTCATACATGGAAATCCTACTTGGAATTTCCATGGACTGGATCAGAAAGTCAAAAAGAAAAATGTGGAAGGATAAAAATACGAAACACAAATATGAAATATTAAAAGTCAAATAAACCACAGCACATGGGTAAAAGGTCAATCCAGAACTAACTGACAAGTGAAGTTAAAAACATTCTCGTAGCATGTGACTAAGACCTAAACAAAATGTCAACAAAATAAAAAATAAAAAATGCCATGCAACTTAGTCAAATGAAGAGTTAAAGAAACTTATAACAGCAACCAGTTCAACATCAGCAAGAGAATCATAAATAACTAAATATGTGGAAATAATGGATGAGCATAGGCAAAAACTTAACGATGATTTGCTCATTCGATATAGTCACAGAGAACCAAATTACAAAAGGATGGACATCCATGATAACATGTTTTGATTGTGCTCAAGCAGAATGTCTGACACTGTCCGTATTCTTTTCCATATTCAATTTTTCATATTTGTGATCGCGCTTAACATTATCTTTGACACTGTACTTAATAATCCAATGTTTTCTAGATTAATGATGATGGTGAATCATCATTAACAGTCAAGGCAAAGCCAACTCTCACACTGGAGTATACAGTCGAGACACGAGAGCACGGGCTAGCAGAAATAACCAAACCTAAAGCAGTATAGAACACTTGCCAGTTTCAATAACATACAATACATACATGATCTCATTACATCTGGACATCATGCCACTAACACAGCATGATTGTATACATAGATAAAAGGCATATATCCACATCTAACCACCTCTTCCTCCAAATGACTGAAGATGACGAAACACCAGACATACAATATTTACAAAAACGTAAAAACTAGCAAAGACAATCTAGAGGAATTGTAAATGTTGGTACATAGTTTCGACTGACCATGGTGAGCTTGTTACTATCAGGAGAATATTCTAAGTGTTTCAAGAATAGGAGTGGAAAAAATTAGTTCTGATCAAAATGATAATGGAAAAAGGAAAATTTGTACATGGACTCAGAAATCACAACGATGAAATTTAGCTCATGTTTAGTAGAGATTCTTTAAAACTTATTTTCAACCACATATTCTCCCGGAAAAATAATTTTGCATAGGTCCAATTCTATACCAGGTCCTTACCAAAAAAAAATAAAAAATAAAAAAATAAAAGGGTGAAACTGGCTTGAATGATCAATATAATCAAATTTGATGACATCTTGGAAAGTAATAGACTGGTGGCAAAATAAGAAAATCAAAGTCGTAGCATAATTAATGCCGCGGGGAACCAAATATAAGCGACATTAAAATAAAACTGACCTACACATGACCAGGCACTAAAAGATTTATCATTTCAGCAGAAATTAGCTCCAGGGTCCCTATATGATAGAGCCTCCTGACACCCTGCTTTTAGACAACCAGAGTTTTATGAGATTATGCAAGTTTAAATATTTAAAACCTAAAATTGTTAAAGTACTGGAAGGAAACAGCGTCATAAGCTGTCTTATCTTCAAGAATTCAAGGGCATAACTGAAAGAAAGCAAATTTAAGAGCATTGTTCATAAAAGAGACATCAGTACTACATAATATTTACAGAATATGAAAAGCAAATAAAGCAATGAAACTGCCAAATTCAGGGGAAAAGAGCACATCATGACAAATAACAACAGAATATACTATCAAATTTAGCATGCACAAGTTATTTTGATGCAGCAATAGCAATCAAATATGCTAGAAATTGACAGCCAAGGGTCAAACATACCTTTTGCCTGACCATCTATGTTTTGCTTGTTAGCAGCAGGACCTATTCGCATGGGCTTAGTAGAACAAAACTTTCCATTCATCTCAGTCATGGCTCGTAACTGTTCACTTTCATCACCGAACCTCACAAACCCATAGCCCTTTGTGCGGCCTGTTAACCTATCGGTTACAACCTTAGCACCCCTTACTGAACTATAATTGGCCCTAAAAGTTTCTTGAAGCATGTAATCAGTAACATCAGCAGCCAAGTCTCCAACAAAAATCGTGTATTCAACAGTGTTGTCACGCTTTTCACCCGCACCCATTGATGCCCAGTTCAATCTGAATGTTTGCTCAATATTTGGCATTAGGGAGCCATTATATGTCTGCAGATTCCTTTCTGCAGCAGCATGACTAACAAACTCAATAAATCCATAACCTTCAGATTGGCCAGTTTGCTTGTTACGGATGACTTTAGCAGAGATCACCGGAACAAATGGCACTAGATTAAATTCTAACAGAACCATAAGCAAAAACTCAATAAAAACTAATAGGTGGCAGATACTCTAGTTGGGTAAAGTGTACACACTTTTGGGTATCCACCTTCAAATTTCGTTGTTCAGATCACAAATTTCAGCTATACATGGATAGTGCACACTTAAAACATTAAACAGCAAAAATCAATGCAACATTACACAAAAATATTAGACAGGTTTGTTGACAGTGATGCAAAGTCCATGGCCTACATGATTGATTCATAAATCATAACCAACATTTCCTGATAAAACTAATGTGCTTTAACGAGCATTGTACCACTATTAGGTGATTAAAAACAGCGAGCTGTCTCACAAATTTTACAATAAGGCAATATATTGGATGAGAGAACAAAATCTAACCAACAGAAAGTAGAAAAGATGAAAGAATTCGGAATATTTGCCAAGATCGAAATAAATACTAGAGATTCACAGTGCTTCGGACTTCAATCTCAAAAGACCAGATTTTTCAAGAAATAACTTCTTCAATTCTCCTTGTTGGAACAATTTGGTCCATTCATAGGCTCTATACCGAACACAAGGAACTCATTCTAACTAGGGGCTTAAATCAATTGAAAAATCCAAAATCTAATGTAAAATAAGCTAATCATAGTCAATAGAAGACACATCCCAAACCTACCAAAACTAGGAAATATTTAATTAAATTCAAATGAAACTATGTTTTCACATTGCTAAACCAGAACGAAATATTAAATTCTAAATCTTGCAACAATTCCTCAGGTGGCTGCCTCTAACAAGAAAATTTTGAAACTGTTGCTCGCAGATGCAGGACCACTCGCTTAAGCTCCTCCAGATATGCAAGTACTGTCTAAAAAAGGCTTGCCCAACCATTTGATTACACCATTAAAAATTCTCATGAAATTGAAGAAAAGAACCCCACTCGGCATGCTTGAGTTTCTTTAGAGAAAATACAAGTACCGAAGTGCATCATGATTAGAGTAAAAACAAAACTTTGAAACACAAATAGTATTGCCAATGGTGATGAGCTCAATTTAAGCTTAGCATATGATAACTTTTCACTGAAGGAAGGCAAAAGACTTCTTGACTTAGCGTTTTCCAGGGATGCGGTTAGAAGATGAATTTAAGGTGGGCTAAAATTTAGAAAAAGTCATTCCATTGGGCGACTGGTGGACCGAAGATCAGATTTTTTCTCATTAAGTTTCACAGAATCATGTTTGGTTAAGCTTAATAAGTTTTGCTTTGAAGCAAATTTACTTCTTAAAAATAAATAATTGTTGGTATTGATGAAGTAAAGGTAAGTTACTTTCAAAAAATAATAATAATAATAATAAATAAATAATTTAAAATTTTCCTATCTGAAACTAAGGGCCTGTTTGATAGGCCTTTTTTCCATGGAACTTGGAAATCAAATTCCATTTTCCATGTTTTTGAGTGTTTGATTTGCCAAATTTTCTAAGTAATTGATTTTCTAGCTTTGCCCTCACATGACCGGCTTTTCCCTGGTTTTGAGGAATTCACTTTCTCATGGGTTGGTGTAAGTTGATTTTCCATGCGACCTTTTATTTTTTTCATTGGAAACAAATAATAGGAACAATTGTAAAAGATGATATCCCTTAAATTGATAATTGTCATGTAAAACAAAGCCAAACGAACACCAAAATATAGATGATTTTTGGATTTTTTTGGGCAATGGAAATAAATTCTAGGAACAATTGTAAAAGTAGATATCCCTTAAATTGATAATTTTCATCAAAAATAAAGTCAAACGAACACCAAAAAAGACATTTTCCTTAAATTTACAACTTTCATAAAAAACAAAGCCAAACGAACACAAAAAAAAAAAAAAAAAAAAAAAAAAAATATTTCATCATTTTTCAATTGAAAAATTATGTATCAATCAAACAATATTAATTGACAATTCCTCGTAAAACAATTTCTAGGCAATTCAATTCAATAAAATTCATTTTCTTTCCATCCAAAATCCAACTTTGCAATCAAACGGCGCTAACATTCAAACATATAAGAATTAAATTAGAAATAATGTCAATATTTTCTAGACTTAGAAAAACATGCTCAATCAACAGTTTCAATTCTAAAAGCATTTTTTTTATCAGTAAAAGTAAATTTTTCAAACTTTTTAATATGAAATTTTTTTAAGCATAATAAGTAAATAAATACAAATATGCAAATAGATTATGCATCTAAATAGCTGTTTGAATGTGCTTGTAATTGACATATATGATAAATATACACACCTCTCCAGTGGATGCAAAACAGCTGTACAGATACTGCTCGTCCATCCAATACTGAAGATCGCCGATCCAGAGGCTTCGGATCCCGTCATCTGTGCTGGGCTGAGCTTGAGCTGCAAGCGCGGCAGCATACTGCTGCGGTTGCAGAGGCGCATCCGCTGCCGGAGGTGGTTGCTGATAGTAGTACCCCGACGGCTGTTGTGGCGACGGCATATGGTATTGTGATTGCTGCGGTTGCATCCACTGCTGCAGAGGTTGCTGTGGAGTCTGCATCTGGTATTGAGGTGGTAGAACCAAGTTCGCCGCTGGCTGCATCATTGCCGGAACACTGTGTATTACTTTTGAAAATTGGTGGGTTGAAAGTGGAACCCTAGAAGGGATCTTGTGGATGATGAGACAGAGAGCGATTTTAGAGGCTTTGAAGGCGGCTCGAGCGTGACACGGCCAAACAGTCCAAACCAATAAATAAAAGAATATGGTTTACCGAAAATACCCCTTGGCATTGGTTCTTTTTCCATTTGAGTCCAGTTTAAACAAATCGAACAATATGAAAATGATCATTGACACTCATAGGCCTAATTGGTATGTTAGCTTGTCCCCATGGGGCAAAAAGGTTAAAGTCGTAAAAGATGACTATCGGGTCTATTGTTTAACTTACATTAACTCTAAAGATAGAATGTTCTATAATTAGCATGATCTTATATAGATTTTCAAACGAAATTTTTACCAAATTGATTCACTGTTACAACTAAAGATGGCATCGAGGTCGAGTTTGAGCAACAAAATGGGATTGAACAAGTACTATGTAATTCGTCCCCCACCCTGTGTCTAGATTAATTGGGGAATCCTCGCTCCATTCGGTCCGGGTCTTCACGAGCATTTTGACCGGTTGTGTATCACAAATTTTAATATTTTAGTATTATATTTATTTTTGTTAATTATTTAAATTCAAAAAGAAATAGTTCATGATTATTTAACATCAAACATCCTTTATCACAGGGGCACAATCTCATGACATCTCCGCCCATACTTAAATGCATATTATTGGCCAATAATC